GTGCAGGGTGGAAGAGCCAGCGAGTGTGCAGGGTGGAAGAGCCCATGAGTGTGCAGGGTGGAAGAGCTAGCGAGTATGCAGGGTGTAAGAGCCCGTGAGTGTGCAGGGTGGAAGAGCCAGGCTTGCAGATGGGGAATGAGTGAGTACCTCGTCCAGAGTAAAGCATTCTGCTGAATAGTCCATTCAAATGAGCCCATTTAGTCTTCAGGAGGACCCAATAAACTAGATAGTGTAACTAGATAGTATTATCTTCCTTTTGTAGATTAGGAGACAGGCCCAAAGAGGTGAATGAACTGTGCCAAGATCAGACATCTAGTAGCTGGTTGAGCTGAGGTTTGAACTGAGAGCATTCTGACGCCAAAGCCCGAGTGAGCCCTTCACCACTGCGTTAGAGTGGTGATGTCTCCGGGGAATGTTGAGGTGGAAAGGAGCAAAGATGAGGGATTCTTTTAAAGTGAATGACATGGGCCCTGACTGGTGTGGTTCAGGGGGTTGGGCATCGTCCCGTGAACCTAAAGGTCGCTGGTTTGATTCCCGGTTGGGGCACGTGCCTGGGTTGTGGGCCAGGTCCCTGGTTGGGGGCGTGAAAGAAGCAACTGATCACTGTTTCTCTCACATACGAGTGTTTCTCTCCCTCCCTTCCCCTCTCTCTAAAAATAAATAAATAAAATCTTTAAAAATAAAATAAAATGAAGGGCATGGGCGTGAGCCCCACAGTAAGTACTAGGGCGACCAAGTTTGAAGTCTGCCTTCGAGCTGGAGGTCTCTGCTGCAGGGAGAGCTGCTGACCCAATGAGAGGACATCTGTGACCTTCAGTGACAGGGCGGCATTTCCTAGGAGCCCAGAAATCGGAGAGAACATGCCAGCTCTGACCTGGTGACTATGCCTAGGGAAAGGAGTGAGGCAATAGGACCCGACCCTGAGGCGGAGGATGGGCTCCCATTGCCCCGAATAGCAGGTTGGGGGTGATAGGCAGAGGAGGAATGAGGTTGGGTGGTTGAGAACCTGTTTGCTGAGGTGGCTGCCTCCTACCAAGAAGAGCAGTGTCTTCGGCAAGATGGCCTGAGTCAGGAGGGATGAGGTGCCTGGGATCCTAGCAAAGGGCTCAGACCTGGACCAGGGTTTCTGTCCCCCATTCTGTTAGGACTGAAGCCCTCACTGTGGTGTGGACGGAGAACTCCTGCCTTTTGTGGGAGTTCCAGGGTCCTCCCTGGATGGTCTGGGAATATCCATGACCAGGCAGCACTTGGAAGGGCAGCTTTGTGCCAGGGTTCTGATTCATTTGTGACTCAGGGCCTTGTGGAGTGCCCCAGTGTGGGTGGTGATGCAGAAAGTGGTTCTTGGGCTCTTAGCGTGGCTCAAGCGCATGCGGGTTAGTTGTGGGACTCTTATTCCAGATGCAGCCCAGTGGTTTTTTGGGTTTATCTTTGCTCTGTCAAATGCATGAACCAGAAAGACAAATGATCCATTACACAAAGTGTGGCTTCTTCCTGTTTCCCAAAGCCCTCGGGCTGCACAGACCTGTTTTTAATTGTGACATTTGCTCTGGAAGTGCTTGTGACCAGGGATGTTGTAACAGTGTTCGGTTACCACCCTCGAGTTTGCAGAACAGGGAAAAGTAAAATAGAAAATGAAAACTGAGTCTCCCATTGTGGTTTTTAAATTCGCATTTCTGATGACTAGTGACATTGAACGTGTTTTCATATGTCTGTCTCCTGGCTGTCTGTATGTCCTCTTTAGAGAAATGTTCCTTCAGGTCCTTTGCCCAATTTTTAATTGGATTGTTTGGTTTTCTGTTATTGTTGAGTTGTATGAGAGATATCACCTCACTCCTGCCGGAATGGCTATCATCAATAAATCAGCAAACAAGAGTTGGGAGGAAGAGGAGACAAGGCAACCCTTGTGCACTGTTGGTGGGAATGCAGTCGGTGCAGCCACCGTGGACAGCAGTATGGCGTTTCCTCAAAAAATTCAAAATGGAGCTGCCTTATGACCCAAAGATTCTGCTTCTGGGAATATATCCAAAGAAATCCAAAACACTGATTTAAAAGAATATATGTACCCCTATGTTCATTGCAGCATTATTGATAATAGCCAAGATCTGGAAGCAGCCTGTGTCCATCAGTAGATGAATATGTAAAAAAGCTGTGGCACATGTACACAGTGGAATACGACTCAGCCATAAAAAGGAGGAAATCTTACCATTTGTGACAGCATGGATGGACCTGGAGAGCATTATGATAAGTGAAATAAGCCAGCCAGAGAAAGACAAATACCACATGATTTCACTCATAGGTGGAATCTTATGACAAAATAAACAAACAAAATGGAAACAGACTCATAGATCCAGAGAACAGACTGACCGCTGTCAGAGGGGAAGGGGACTTGGGGGCTAGGTGAAAAAGGTGAAGGGATTAAGCAAACAACAACAACAACAACAACAACAACAACAACAACAACAACAAATAGGCACAAACAAAAGAATGGTAATTCCCAGAGGGAGAAAAGAGTGGGGGGAGGGGAGACAAATGGTGATGGAAGGAGACAATACACAGATGATGTATCATAGAATTGTATACCTGAAACCCATATAATTTTATTAACCAGTATCATCCAGATTAATTCAATAAACTTTAAAAATTATTTCTTGGGGCAGAAGATTACCGGGGATTAGGTTATCCTATATCAGGGTCCTTTTGGAAATGAAAGAAGCCGAACCCCGGGTGACGTCCCATGACTCCCCTCATTCTCGCAGAAGGGACCCTGCGGGATTCTAACCTCCAGATCTCCACCTCCAAAGCCTCTAAGAGGCCAGATAGGACCTGCTGCTGGCCCAGGGTCCAAACTGGGAAGGTTGCATTTGCCCCTCTGTTTAGGCTGGTTTTTATTCTCAAAGTCTCCCAGATCAGCAGTTTAAGAATTTAAGAAGATAGCCTGGACTCTGACACATTGGTGTGACCAAAGATTAGATAAGACTCCAAGGACGTGAAATATTTTTTTTCCTGGGGAAGCCTACCCCTTGGGCCTCTCTCAAGGCTCCCAGCCCAGAGGGCACTGCCAGGCCCAGTGGAGGCGGTGCCAGCCCGAGAAGCTGAGAGAGCTGTTTTCCCATGTCCCCTCTGCTAGAACTCTGCGAAAGCTGTACAAGTCGTGTCGCCTCTCGGGCCCAACCCCACGTAGCCTCCATTTGGCCCTCTGATAATTAGGTTGTAATAGAGCAGCAATTTTCAACCTTCTTCATGTGGTGGCACACATACACTAGTTACTAAAATTCTGCGGCACACCAGAAAATATATTTTTTGCTGATGTGACCAAAAAATAGGCATAATTTCTATTGACTTACAAAAATATAATAATAGTAATTATCTACTCTTTTTGCTCCAGACTGACTTTTTAATATATATAAATATTCTTGAATATAAGGATTTTTGGTACCAAGAATTAACCAATCAGATGCAACCTTATTATGCAGCATGACTGACAAAATGCAACTCTGTTGTATGACCTATGTATTTATAGTTCAAGACAGGGCATTCACACTGGACAGTTATTGTCGTGTTGGCTGTTGTCATTTTTCAATTTGACAATTTAAAGGAAAAGAGGTCAGTGCCCTGACTAAATAGTCAGGTATTGCATATTTTTAAAAATCTCATAGCACCCAGTTGAAAAATGCTCTAATAGAGGATGACAAACTATAACATTCTATAATTTCCACACACAAGTGTTACCATATGTGTTATCTTTTAATCTTTATTTCAAAGACCCCTGCCCCACTAGATTATAAGGCTCCTTTATAATTCAGGACCTCTGCTATATACATCTTGGTACCTCCCAAAATATCTAGCAGAATGCTTTTCATATAGTAGATACTTTAAAGATCTGCTTGATTTATTGATTGTAGATTGGCATACATTGGAAGAACCCCACACTAGGTCTATAGATGATGACTTTTGTGAATATTTCAGAGCTGGGAGCCACTAGTGACCATTCTGAGTGGCTGTGATTGACAGGCTGGAAAAGCAGTCAGGATGATCCACAGACCAGCTGCTGCTGATCGGTATCGTAGTGTGGAGTGAAAGCAAATTGCATTTCTACCTACAGTTCCTTTCAAGTACGGTAAAGGAAAAGTGGGACCTTAAGGCAGGGGACGGACTTATCTTCCTTCACCCTTGGAATTTGAAGCTTGTTTGAGGGCTTGGGCTGTTTTTCAACTTCCATTTTGGTATTTCATGTGGCAAAGGGCTTTGGGAGTTGTGTCACAGCTAGTCACTCCCGAATGCAGGCATTTCTGACCTTGGCAACACCCGTGTCACACTGTATCAGGTTACTAGGCTTGGAATTCCAAGGCAGATGTGAAATGTGGTATGAGATGTTTTAAGTTGTTGGCGTGTGTGCGTGTCCACAGCCAGTTTGCATGTGCCCCTGTCCTGTGTGTACAAATGTGTGCAGCTGTGTATAACTTTGTATCACAGATGCCTTGTCAACTGCTAGGTTATGTGCACAGTGAACTTAAGCTTTCATGTTTGTAAATGCGGTAATAACTTTAGACTTCCAAGTCTCACTGAAAGCAAGTTTTGGGGTTACGGGGTGTAGAAGTCTTCAACTTTTTCCCAGCTTGTCTCTGAACTCCTGGTTAACAGATTCAGTGAAATCAAGAATTTAAGTGACACAAGAAAAAGTCAATACTGCTTTACTGTACCATAGAAACTGGAGTATAGGAATCACTGTTCATCATGCAGCTAGAGAAGAGCCAGCCTGCACTGAGAGCCCCGACTATAATTTTTTCTAGTACGTATTGATGGTGAGGGTGGTCAGGGGTGTGTGTGAATTGAGTTGTCAATCGAAAGAAAGCTCTCTCTGGTGTCTTGAGGAGGAAACAGTCCCTGTCTAGGTTTTAAGAAAGACTGGGATTGTGTTTCTTATTAGGAAGTCTCTTTAAGTTTGTGCCATTACCTCTTGGCCATTGGTGACTGTAATTGACTGTCTCTGCCTTCTATAGCTCGGAATCGCGACTGGGTTCTTGGTCCCTCCTGTTTTGGTACCCAACATCAAAGACCAGGACAAGCTTGCCTACCACATCAGCATCATGTTCTACATAATAGCAGGTGTCGCCACTCTGCTTTTCATCCTTGTCATTATTGGTAAGTTCATTAGTAGGCTGCTGGGGGGAGAGGAGGCAGGGACGTACGTGCTGCTGGCTTCGATGGGGCCTTGTGAACAGGGCTGTAGCATGTGGTGGACGCTCACAGCAACCGGAGGCCAGGCCTCTGCTGGTTTTCAATGCCCCTAATACAGTGCCCGCTGGTCTTGGGTGTGCGTGTTGTCAGTGGCTCTGTAAAGGTTTAGTTGTGATCGAACAGTTCCCCAATATGACCTCACCGGAATGAATGGCCAGGCTGCTGACCCCCGGTGAAACCCCATGAGCATTTATTACAGGCATGTGCTCTTCATGCCTGACCTCACGGAACCCTCAGCGACCCTGTGAGTGAAGGTGCCATCATGGATCCCATGGCACAGAGAGGAAGACTTGGGGGAGTTAAATAAATCATTAAGGGTTCGATGGTGGATTTTAGCCTAAACATGTCTAATGCCACACTCTAAATTTCTGGAACAAAACAGAAGGAACCCACAAACACTAATAATCTCATAGATTCACCTGAGAATACCTGGGTACCACATTTTTAATGCTTTTTAAAAATACATAAAAATAATATGTGCACATTATGGAACAATCTAGAAAATATAAAAAATACAAGGAAAAGAATGACTATTAATTTAGCCTCGTACAAGTTCATTGTGACCTCAGATAACTACTATTAATTTTATATGCATTTATGTATTTAATCACTGAGATATTTGGTTAATATAATTTTTAAAAAATTCCTTTATTATGTAAGATTCAGGTATACAGTATTCTAATTCAACATCTGTATACACTTTAAAGTGACCACTACCACAAGTCTAGATACCGATCACCATACGATTGATGGATAATATAACTTTATATCCTCTTTTATAATCTGAGTGATATTACATGGGTGGTGATAAATTCAGAAACAGCAGAGTGGAGGCTTTCACTGTCGGTTATTCACCTGTCTAAAGGTTAACCAGTTTTTTCCCTAATACCTGAAAGTTTCGCTTGCCGTGTTAAAGGTTTCACTCCTTCCTTCTGGCCTCACCTCCAGAGTCAAACAGTTTTATAATCATTCACCTCATTCAATTGTTCCCACCATGACAATTTCCTCCCCTGGGGCCAAGTTGAGGAAGAGCTGCCTGCTGGCTTCCCGGAGCTGGCAGGATGTCTTAGACGGTGGACAGGACTCAGAGTTCGTGAGAAGCTGCAGAACTGTGGGTAAGAGCAGACAAGAGCCATCCAGCCAGGGAGGGACTGGGCCAGACCTACAGTTTCAAACTGTAATGTGCCCAGCTCTAAATTCCTGTGTTGGTGGCAGATGGGGGCCTGGAATCCTGGAGGTAGGACATCTGTACATTTTGGCACTTTGTGATCAAAAGCACAGACAGTAGCTCATTGAATAAAGAACTGAAAGATCTCACCTGAATCCTGGTTTGTGGTTGCCAAGGCCTTGAGCAAGCAGCTGCTGTTGCTGAGGTCAGTAAGCCCCTGCCTTGCTCTCTTTCCCCTCCTGGAAGGGAAGGTGAACGGACAATGGATGAGCGCTTCCCAACAGCAGGAAGTTATCCTGGAGGAAATTCGCCTGGACCACTTCCAAGAAGAAAGTAGCCTGGCTCTGCAGCCAGGGGGCTGGGTGGCGGGGAGGGGGAGGCTTTGATCTTCTTCTAAGATGTGAAACTGCATTTCCAGAGTTTCCTTTAACTGGAGGAGTTCTCCTGGGGTGAGGGGGAGGCCGCGTGGGGCTTGCTTAGACCTGGTTGGGGGAAATATTTAGCTAAAACACTGGTTAAACTGATACGCCTCCAGAGAACTGAATAGCAATCAATGCAGTGCAAATTGATTGCACTGAAAATAGAAGATAATAGTTGTACCGAAAATAGAAGATAAAATTAATGGTTTCCCCCCTTGTTCCCACCCCAGTCCTTCCTGTCAGAGTAGCCTCTCCCACAGGAGCAGGCTCGTCCTCTGGTTCCTTGGAGGCAGATATCTGATTTAGACTTTGAGAAGCTCAGAACGGACTCTGGAGCTGTTCCTGGCTGAAGATCCTTTCACTCACTCAGGGTGTTCAGCAACTGCTCTGCGCCAGGCTCTGAGCTAGGAGGCACGGGCAGCACAGTTCCCTCCCCTGCAGGAGGCGCTGTGGTGCTAAGTCACTAGCTGGGCTCACTACTCCCAGAGCTGCAGCTCCTCTCTCTCTCTCTCTGGGTATTACTCTTTTTCTCAGTGCTCTGTGATGCGTTATTTGCTGGTTATGATGGGACTCCCTGATCCGTGAGCACTGCCTGGGAGGCCCCAGGGGTTGCAGCTGTCCAGAGGGCATTAAGAAAAAGTAATCGACAGACCACTCACTCAGCCATGGACCATGAAGAAAATGGGTATCATTTTGATGCATTCAAGAAAGGCAGCTGTAAAGGATTTACTTGAAGAATTGATATTTCCCTTTGAGTCTTAGCTCCTTCTTGGGTGATGGAGCTGGCCCTCGTCTACGTGTCACTTTGCGGGGGGTCACCACAGCGATGTTCAGTGATCTCTCTGTTTCTGTCCTTTCAGTATTCAAGGAGAAGCCTAAACATCCCCCCAGCAGGGCCCAATCCCTGAGCTATTCCTTGGCAACCACCGATGCTTCGTACTTAAGTTCCATCATCCGGCTCTTCAAAAACCTCAACTTCGTGCTGCTTATCATCACCTATGGTAAGGTGCAGCTGTGTCCTGGAGGGCACTCCAACTGGGAGCGGGAGACCAGAGGCCTGATGTGTCTGTGCGTCTTACTTCTCCCAAATATCAGATGCGCATGTAAACTAATTGTGCAGAGTCAACCAGAACAGTCAGCTCTGTCTCAGGGCCTTCGCACGTTCTGTAAAGTCCGCCTAGGAAACCACTCCTTGCCCTACCAGGTTATCTGGCAAATGCCTGCCGATCCTCCGAGTCTCATCCCAGCATCGCTGCTGGACAGCGGTGTTAGGTGATCTTTCCTCTCTTATGTGCCGTTCCATTTCCAAGTTTGTCTTCTCACTAGATTGTGACCTCCCTGAGTGCAAGGATTTGCGCCTTTTCTTCTTTACAGTTATGTCTTTTCTTCATCAGCAGTGGCTGGCCTGGAGTGGCTGCTCCTGTGGTTACTGAGTGAATGAATGACTGACCGAGTCAATAAATGAGTGCGTGCATGCACAAGTGCGTCTTGCCATACTAACCACTCCTCAACCAATCTTCCTTCATCTTATAACATTGACTCCTATATATTTTTTTATCTGCAAGACAATATCCCTGTTTTGTTTCATTTTGTTGGCTTTGGTAAGATAAATGTTTATCTTTATGCTGGTGTATTGGCTTGCCTCTCCAGCATGGTGTTTCCACCTCTTCTTCCCAACTTTTAATAAGAATGTTAGACCAGACAAGAAGGGTGAGGACAGAACCTCATGGCATTCCAGGAAAGAGATCCACCCAACTGTACTGCTGTCCATCCTACATTAGAACATTTAATCCACCAGCTAGTTTAAAACCAAGGGTCAGCCAGTGTGTAACATGCTCAGTAACTATATAAAAAAAATGAGATTGGTTTAACACGGCTTACACTCGGGAAAACCACAGTGGACTATAACCTTATGCTCTCCGTAGGTTCACAAATCGTGTGTTTTATAACAACAGCCTTTGCTGTGTGCCAAGACTTTTCACATATGCTTGTATTTAACTTCCACCACAGCCGTGTTAGGTGGGTACTCTAGCTATCCCCATTCCACAGATGTGGAAACTGAAGCTCAGAGAGATTAGGTCACTAGCCCAAGATCACGCAGCTTTTCCAGGATTCAGGTACAGGTTTGTCTGACTCCAACACCTGTGCTCTTGATGCCTGGTACACAATTGCCCGTAGTTTTTTTCCTGGAACTGTGCCACAGTTTCATTTCAGGCTTATCAATGCCCTGCATCTCGAACTGTTTATCTGCCAAGGCATTGATAAGAGATGGTATCGCCCATGGGTGGGGAGGCACGCCTAAGTGATTTGGGCATATACAATAGGTAGATGCCCTCTTATCTGGAATAGCTCTAGGTCATCGATTTTCAGCCTTCATCTCACGGCACGCATAAACTAATTACTAAAATTCTGTGGCACACCAAAAAATATTTTTCCAGTGTGACAAAAATAGGTATAATTTTGATTCATTCACATCAGGTGGCTATTGTTGTGCTGGCTGTTGTCACTTTTTAAATTTGACAACCTCGGGGAGAAAGGGGTCAGTGCCCCTGACAAAATAGTCAGGTATGGCACATTATTGTTGCAGCACACAAGTTGAAAATCGCTGCCCTAGATAACTAGATTAGTCTCCAAGGTCTCAGGTCTGTATTTTCATTCTCCCCAGCTTTTCAGTTCTTAGGATATTTCTGCATTCATCCACCGTGCTAAGCTGGCTCACATGGGTCGATGGGCAAAGCAGTTCACTTCTGAGTCTCTGGAAGCATTCAACTCTGTTGTCTGTAGATGGAGTTTCTTAACATTTTCCTCAAAGGTCTCGGATTATCTCAGTGAGAGGGAATTAAACTAATCTCGATGTTTGTGCTCATTTCAGAGAACCACAAGCCTAATTTCCATGGTAGAGAATTGGACTTGGAGACAAGGCTGTTTGCCAACAAGGAAATGATTCTTAGGCCTATTTACAGATTTGAAAAAAAATTTTATTGAGCCATTACTGTGTGTCAGGCACCATGTTAAGGCTTTATCTGCATTATCTCTTCTAATTTTCAAAACACATCTGTGACAGAGGTCCTTAACTCTATTCCATTTCATACCCGAGGAAACGGAGACTCTGGTTTTGGTTCCTTGCCCACAGTTGGACAGCTAGCAAGCAATAGAGCTGACACATACACTCTTGTCCGTCTGATGCCAAAGCCTATTTTTCTACCCATTGTGCCTTTTTGCCTCCCCATGCAGAACACAGCCTCTTGGAGGCCAAGCTAGGGCTCTTTTCTTAGCCCATGTGCCCAAGTGGTCTTTGAGTCTGCCTTCCTCAGACATCATTCTCAGACAAGTTACTTGGGGGTTGCTTTCTTCTAGAGTGTGGATCTAGAGTTTTGGAAGCAGGACCAACATACTGGCCAGCCATCTTTGGGATTTGGGGATGGTGGGGCATCAGCTTTAGTGTGTCTCTTTAAGGTGTACAGGTTATATCAAGGCAGTCCACCTGAGAGTCTCTGTTTTCTTCTCCCACCATCTTTGCTTCAAATTTAAAACAACAGCAACAAAACCTTCAATAAATTCAACAAATGGCAAGCATTCTAGCAGATAAGAGAATGGCATGAATGCACTTGCAGGACATGGGTGGACATGCCTAGGAGTAATAACCTTGAATGCTGGACCCATGAGTTCAGACCTGTACATAAGGAACGGGAGGCCTGAGTGTGGGTGTCTACTCTGTCAGTTCCTGAGTGTACCACCTTCACCCATTTTTTGTCCTTCTAACCCCCATTGCCCCTCAGAAAATAGTAAAAACATTTGCTTCCCGTTGACGTTCTCTGAATGGAAATGAAAGGTTTACAATGAATTGCAAATAAAGACACTGCATGCATCCACATTGCTGTTGCATTGATTAATGTGCTGATTCCTATATTCTTTCTTTGGTCTGAAATAGATTTCCCCAAATAGTAAGTGGCTCTTGTGCAGCCGGTGGGATGCCTAGTGTTGTATCTGTAGTGGTTTTCCAGTGCTCTCGTGCAGCTGCTGAGACAGTTACCTTGAGCTGGGGTGTAATGATACACTGAAGGTTTTGGAGGAATTTCCCTAGAGGCTCTGGCCACCAACCCTTAGAGGTAGGCTTGTGAGATAAAATAAGCACCATCAAGTTACATTTGAATTTCAGATAGGTCATGAATTCTTTTTAGTATAAACATATCCCATGTGATATTTGGGGTATGTTTATGTTAAAAAATTACTCATTTTTCTGAAATTAAAATTTAACCAGGTATGCTATTTGTTTAAGGAAACCGTTTTTTTTTCCTTAAATCTGGGAGCCCACTTAGAGGGGAGGACTTGTAGAAGTGGGTTTATGCTTGATGTTGCCAGACCATCACAAGAAGAAGAAACTGCCTGCTTCTCTGGTTAAAGATCTCCCTCCTCCAAGTTGGACAATGCAGGAAGATACAGGCTGAAACCAGACCCTCAGAGGGTCCAACAGGCTTTGGGGATAGGGCAGGTCTTGTGATGTGTATCAACAGTGGGGGTGGGGTGAAGAAAATAACCCTCTTCGGCCACCTTCTTTTTGTGTCTCTAGGTCTTGCTTTCACACGTCCTCCTCTATTCTCTCTTCATCAGTGGTGATGGCGTAATGATTGCCATGTTAAAAAGAATTGTTGAAAATTCTCCTCCTCTAAAGTGTCCTTAGGGGATACTTTCCCCTGTTATCCCCAGCCTTGCCTCCATTGCTTCTTTTTTAAGAAAGATTTTATTTTTTTTTAACATTTTATTTATTTATTGTTTGAGAGAAGTCAAGGGAGGGAGAAAGAGAGGGAGAGAAACACCAATGTGTGGTTGCCTCTTCATGTGGCCCATACTGGGACCCGGCCTGCAACCCAGGAATGTGCCCTGACTGGGAATTGAACCAGAGACCCTTTGTTTGCAGGCCAGCACTCAGTCCACTGAGCCACACCAGCCGAGGCTATTTAATTGTTTTTAGAGGAGGGAAGGGAGGGAGAAAGAGGGGGAGAGAATCATTAATTAGCCACCTCCTATACACGCCTTGACTAGGGATTGAACCAGCCACCCCTCAACTTGCAGGATGATACCCAGCCAACTGAGCCACATCAGTTAGGGTGCCTACTTTGCTTCTGAATACTCTTCTAGTGCTGAGCATCAGAATTCAGAGCTTCAATATGAGTCCCAAGGATACCTCCCTTGGGGCTCTCAAGGGCTTCACCATTGACCCACTTACATGGGCTTAGGGAGGGTGCTTTGTGCTCCCTTAAAATCCTAGCTTCAGAGTGGGTATGAGGAGCCTCTGGGGCAACTTCAAGTGTACCAACATTTGCATCATGGGGGTGCTTAAAGGAGAAGAGAAAGAACAAGAAATTGGAAACCTGTTTTTAAAAATGACAGCAAATTTCTTAACTTGGTGAAGGAAATAGACACAGAAGTCCAGGAAGTGCAGAGAGGCCCCAACAAGATGAACCCAAAGAGGCCCACACTAAGACACATCATAATTAAAATGTCAAAGGTTAAATACAAAGAACCTTAAAAGCAGAAAGAGAAAAGCAGTTAGTTACCTACAAGGGAGCTCCCATAAGACTATCAGCTTGTTTCTCAAAATAAACTTTTCTCTTCTTTCTTTTTTTTTTCTTATTCAGATTTCCCAATTTTCACATTTTTTTAATATTACCAATCTGACTGGTGAGGACTGGCATTCCAGTGTTTCTATTTTCCACCATAATCAAATTTATTATTCCAGTGGTACTAATACAGCTGGAGGTGCTCATGGTGACATTGTACAGGTTTTCTGTCTTCTAGCTTCTGTCCAAACAGAAATGTCTTCCTGCTTGTTCTTTCACCTTTCTGGGGCAAAATCCACTATGGGCTGTTTACCCCCAAAAACTTCTTAATGCATTTAATTCTTCTTTTTTTAAACATTTTCATTTCCCTCTTGAGCATGTTCTAAAATAGTTGGATCCTCCAGCACACTGCAGCCACCCCACTTTCCTTCAAAATAAAC